GGCGTGACAACAAACTCACCTTCACATTGATGTTACCAGTTGTATGTTGTCCCTTGGACGGCAAGGTATATGCGATCTGATCCCCAAGCATTGCTAGACTCTGTTGTCTGAATCTTGTGCCATGACTGTTTTTTTCATGTCCATTTCGAATCTGCTCCCAAGGCTTGGAGACCACTGACCTCATCTTCGCAGTGGACACGCAATGTGCTTTCTCTTTTGACATGTTTCTCTTTGGCAGAGAGAGAGAGAGAGAGAGCGCAAGAAACAGAAGAAAGAATGAAGGAAAGAGAAGCCAGTGTCTAAACAATCTGAAGGACAGTGTCAGTGCTAAGGCCAGGGCATGGAGAATCAATAGTATATCCTCGCATCAAATGTCTTTTTACATGCTGCGACAATTTAGTTGTTTATGCTAGCCTTGCGGAATTTTTACCGCTCAGGAAACACATGGAGACTTTGAACATGGACGCTCGTTAACACTTGTGTGGAAATTGTTCGAGTGCAACGATGTCGAAACAAGGATTCTCAAAGCACCTTCAACCGCTCGACGTACTCCGGGAACGCTGAAAACACACCTCGCAACCAAAGGGTGGGCGGAAGTTCTTCGATGTCCCCAAACTTGCCTACTCGCAACAGCAACAAGTACGACAAATTTGTGACGACACTCGTTGACACAAGTTACATGGACACTCATTGACGGCCAGAATTGTAATTTGGTGGGGTGACACGAACTGCAATTGCAGTGGAAAAACCTGAGAGCGGTCCACTGGACGAGCACGTTTGTTAGGATGTGCTTCGAAGATGACGTCACATGCACACGCGCTTTGGAAGATGGGGCGGGGGTAAGGGGTTGGGGTTGGGTGGGGGTTAACGACGTTGGTTTGGATGTGCTTCGAAGATTGATGTCACACGCATACACATGCGTGATGATTCGCCGTGCTATAAGGCATTGGCCAAGAAGTGCAACTTGACAACTTGCTTTTAGCGGCAATGCAACCATGACAATTGTCGACTGTCTTTGTGTGTCTGCATGTGCCAATTTGGACATGCGCTCACCCGCGGTTGTCGAGAAAACTAATATGTTTTCTGAAATGTACTCAAAAGGCAGAAAACGAACTCGCCGGAGGGGGCACCTTGTTGACAATACAGTGCTGTAATGGTTGCACCAAGGATAAAAAACAACATTTTTTGACCTCAGATTTCTATCTAAGAAATCGGGTTCCGCTGCAGCAAAGCACCCGAAAAGAACAAAATCGTGGGGAATGCCCTATTTGGATTGCCAAGCGTTCGCTTTTATTGCGTAGTGGTAGCCAATGTTTTCTTTGCTTGCTACTTAGCTACCTTGGCCAACCTATTTGCTTCCTACCCATACCCCGAAGAAAGAAGACAGGAAAAACAAGATTTTAAACGCTGGTCACTGGTCGCGTCATGCTGTTCCAGGCGGCACAGATTCCGGACTTTTGGACTTCTGCAACCTCTTCAGTGTTGGCGTCACTTGGATGAAAGTAGAGGTTTAGGTTTTATGAAGCAATAAGAAAACAAAAATTGAAATCGAGATTTTTTTACGATCTGAAAGCAGTGTGTGCTTAAGGATGTTTGGGTTGCGTGCGATGTTCTTCGTCATCCAGGATCTGGTCCAGCTCTCCGGTCTGCTGAAATACGGATTGCTCTTCGGCTCGAGAGGCTGTTCACTAAAAAAACTATTGTTACTACTAGTAAGGCACTTGATACTAGAAGTAAGGCCCTTGTTCCTAGTAGCTTCTTGTTACTAGAAG